AGCAGTGGCAGCTCCACCAGCAGCGGCTGCCACAGTCTGCAGTCGATGATGAGTAGCTTTCTTCACCAGCGCAGTGAGGAAACTACTAACCAGCCGCAGCAGCAGCAGCATCAGGTGGACCTGGAGCAGGACCTCAAACAACAGGCTTGGGCCTACTTGGACAGCACCCTGCCAACCGAGGTAGACAATCCCCTTGACTACTGGGCAACGAAACTTGACCTTTGGCCCCAACTAGCTGAATTTGCCCTTGAAAGGCTGTCATGCCCGGCCAGTAGCGTGGCATCGGAGCGCGTGTTTAGTGCGGCAGGAGGTATTGTAACTCCGCGGAGGACACGACTGTCCACCCAAAGTGTGGAGAGACTGACGTTTGTGAAAATGAATCAGGCGTGGATTAGTCTGGATTTCAAACCACCAGTTCCTGACACAACTGACTAAATCCGCCATGAATCATGCCCCAAACATGTTATTATTTTTAACATCGGCCTCTGTATGGCCTTCAATTTAAGCTGCTTACGCTTCGCCACTCTGCCATGGGCCCCTGTACCGCCTCCTCTTGCTGCTGCGAGGTCCAGAGTGTCTCATGGGTCCCTGTACGGCCTCCCATTGCTGCTGTCTCCATCGCCACACTCTGCCATGTGCCACTTTCAGGTCTCCTCACACTGCGGTGGGTTCCATTTTGTCATAGGGTGCTGGCAGATTACGGGCCTCCCATTGCTGCTGACAGGCCCGTAATCTGCCATGGGCCCCCGTACCGACTCCTCATGCTGCTGCCAGGCCCGTAATCTGTCATGGGCCCCTGTACCGCCTCCTCATGCTGCTGCCAGGTCCAGAGTGTGTCATGGGTCCCTGTACGGCCTCCTATTGCTGCTGCCAGGCCCGTAATCTGCCATGGGCCCCCGTACCGACTCCTCATGCTGCTGCCAGGCCCGTAATCTGTCATGGGCCCCTGTACCGCCTCCTCATGCTGCTGCCAGGTCCAGAGTCTCTCATGGGTCCCTGTACGGCTTTCCATTGCTGCTGTCTCCATCGCCACACTCTGCCATGTGCCACTTTCAGGTCTCCTCACACTGCTGGTGGGTTCCATTTTGTCATAGGGTGCTGGCAGATTACGGGCCTCCCATTGCTGCTGCCAGGCCCGTAATCTGCCATGGGCCCCCGTACCGACTCCTCATGCTGCTGCCAGGCCTGTAATCTGTCATGGGCCCCTGTACCGCCTCCTCATGCTGCTGCCAGGTCCAGAGTCTCTCATGGGTCCCTGTACGGCCTCCCATTGCTGCTGTCTCCATCGCCACACTCTGCCATGTGCCACTTTCAGGTCTCTCCTCACACTGCTGGGGGTTCCATTTTGTCATAGGGTGCTGGCAGATTACGGGCCTCCCATTGCTGCTGCCAGGCCCGAAATCTGCCATGGGCCCCCGTACCGCCTCCTCATGCTGCTGCCAGGTCCAGAGTGTGTCATGGGTCCCTGTACGGCCTCCTATTGCTGCTGCCAGGCCCGTAATCTGCCATGGGCCCCCGTACCGACTCCTCATAGGGTGCTGCTGCCAGGCGCATAATCTGTCATGGGCCCCTGTACCGCCTCCTCATGCTGCTGCCAGGTCCAGAGTCTCTCATGGGTCCCTGTACGGCCTCCCATTGCTGCTGTCTCCATCGCCACACTCTGCCATGTGCCACTTTCAGGTCTCCTCACACTGCTGGTGGGTTCCATTTTGTCATAGGGTGCTGGCAGATTACGGGCCTCCCATTGCTGCTGCCAGGCCCGTAATCTGCCATGGGCCCCCGTACTGACTCCTCATGCTGCTGCCCAGGCCCGTAATCTGTCATGGGCCCCTGTACCGCCTCCTCATGCTGCTGCCAGGTCCAGAGTGTGTCATGGGTCCCTATACGGCCTCCCATTGCTGCTGTCTCCATCGCCACACTCTGCCATGTGCCACTTTCAGGTCTCCTCACACTGCTGGTGGGTTCCATTTTGTCATAGGGTGCTGGCAGATTACGGGCCTCCCATTGCTGCTGCCAGGCCCGTAATCTGCCATGGGCCCCCGTACCGACTCCTCATACTGCTGCCAGGCCCGTAATCTGTCATGGGCCCCTGTACCGCCTCCTCATGCTGCTGCCAAGTCCAGAGTGTCTCATCGGTCCCTGTACGGCCTCCCATTGCTGCTGTCTCCATCGCCACACTCTGCCATGTGCCACTTTCAGGTCTCCTCACACTGCTGGTGTTTTCCATTTTGTCATAGGGTGCTGGCAGATTACGGGCCTCCCATTGCTGCTGCCAGGCCCGTAATCTGCCATAGGCCCCCGTACCGACTCCTCATGCTGCTGCCAGGCCCGTAATCTGTCATGGGCCCCTGTACCGCCTCCTCATGCTGCTGCCAGGTCCAGAGTGTGTCATGGGTCCCTGTACGGCTCCCATTGCTGCTGCCAGGCCTGTAATCTGCCATGGGCCCCCCGTACCGACTCCTCATGCTGCTTCCAGGCCCATAATCTGTCATGGGCCCCTGTACGGCCTCCCATTGCTGCTGTCTCCATCGCCACACTCTGCCATGTGCCACTTTCAGGTCTCCTCACACTGCTGGTGGATTCCATTTTGTCATAGGGTGCTGGCAGATTACGGGCCTCCCATTGCTGCTGCCAGGCCCGTAATCTGCCATGGGCCCCCGTACCGACTCCTCATGCTGCTGCCAGGCCCGTAATCTGTCATGGGCCCCTGTACCGCCTCCTCATGCTGCTGCCAGGTCCAGAGTCTCTCATGGGTCCCTGTACGGCCTCCCATTGCTGCTTTCTCCATCGCCACACTCTGCCATGTGCCACTTTCAGGTCTCCTCACACTGCTGGTGGGTTCCATTTTGTCATAGGGTGCTGGCAGATTACGGGCCTCCCATTGCTGCTGCCAGGCCCGTAATCTGCCATGGGCCCCCGTACCGACTCCTCATGCTGCTGCCAGGCCCGTAATCTGTCATGGGCCCCTGTACCGCTCCTCATGCTGCTGCCAGGTCCAGAGTCTCTCATGGGTCCCTGTACGGCCTCCCATTGCTGCTTTCTCCATCGCCACACTCTGCCATGTGCCACTTTCAGGTCTCCTCACACTGCTGATGGGTTCCATTTTGTCATAGGGTGCTGGCAGATTACGGGCCTCCCATAGCTGCTGCCAGGCCCGTAATCTGACATGGGCCCCCGTACCGACTCCTCATGCTGCTGACGGGCCCGTAATCTGTCATGGGCCCCTGTACCGCCTCCTCATGCTGCTGCCAGGTCCAGAGTCTCTCATGGGTCCCCGTACGGCCTCCCATTGCTGCTGTCTCCATCGCCACACTCTGCCATGTGCCACTTTCAGGTCTCCTCACCCTGCTGGTGGGTTCCATTTTGTCATAGGGTGCTGGCAGATTACGGGCCTCCCGTTGCTGCTGCTGCCAGGCCCGTAATCTGCCATGGGCCCCCGTACCGCCTCCTCATGCTGCTGCCAGGTCCAGAGTGTCTCATGGGTCCCTGTACGGCCTCCCATTGCTGCTGTCTCCATCGCCACACTCTGCCATGTGCACTTTCAGGTCTCCTCACACTGCTGGTGGTTTCCATTTTTGTCATAGGGTGCTGTATGGCCTCCCATTGCTGCTGCCTCCACCGCCACACTGTGGCTCCACACTCTGGTTTTGGCCCCGTGACTGCCCAAATGAGTGAAGTGTGCGGTGATTCTAAGATGGACGGCACTCATCTGCATGTCATACTGACTGACAGTATTATTTCTCTTCCCCAGCAGACTCCAAGGGCATTTAAATTAAAGGTACAGTGTTCTGCACTAATATAAAGGCTCTCTGAAGCCTAGAAACACCCTTTTATAAGTTAAATTCGCAGCGAATATATATTCGACTCAAATCAAATTTATTCCGCGAATCCGCCGAATCAGCCGAATCAGCCGAATCAAATTTTTTTGAATACTTCGCTCATCTCTAATTGTGATATGATGTCCTGAGGTTTAAGTGGTTTTTATAGGAAAATGCCTACAGCTACAGGCATCATCCTGGTATCAAACTTTTCAGCCGACGGGGAGCCTGGGACTACACCTGACTGGCAGCATCTCCATCACTGAATTGATGGTGTACCTCCTTACCTGTGAGGTCAGAAAAAGGAAGCAACGAGGACTTAGTCACTTCCGCTTCCACCTCTCTGTGTACCTGGCCGTTACCAGCCAGTGAAGCAGTCAATTAGACCAATCTGTGTCTGACCAGCTTCATTGTAGGCCAGAGTAGAGATTTGGGGGTCTAATCGACCCCAGATCTCTCCATAAAGAGGACCTGTCATGGCCCATGCTATCACAAGTAATTTAGTTGCTAAAAAAAATTAAAGGGACAGCAATAATTCTGGCAGCAACTCTAAACTTGTAACCTGTAAAGGCTTTTAAAGAGTCTCCTATGGAGATTTTTATGTACTGTAGTTTGGCGCCGTTTCCCTGGCATACACATTTTTTAAAACTGTGACGTTAGATATCTATCATCATCATTAACATATTTTTTTTTATTTTACCAAAAAAGTTAGGTATTATATAGTGTTTGTGTTCGTTAAAATTCAATAAAGTTTTTTTTTGCGTTTGAAAAATCGCTGTGCAAATACGGTGTGACATAAAAAATTGCAACACCCACCATTTTTTTTCTCTGGGACCTCTGCTTACAAAGGTAATATTGGGGGTTCTAAGTAATTTTCTAGCAAAAAAAAAAAAGGTTTTTACATGTATGCGAAATGGCCGGATAGGCAAGGAGATATTTTGCATATCTATCTGCCTATGTGTAGCTGCAATGTTGATAGGTTTCTGTTTATGTTCAATCTACATTTATTAAGGGTTTAAAAAGAAGACAAAGAAAGATAAAAGCATCCAGTAAAGACAATAAAAAATACAATACAGAGAATAAAATACAAGCTTAGGTCAGGTGAAGAGGGCAAAAAATAATACAAAGGGGGACACAATAAGAGCCGAGATAAACAGTCATAAAGGAAAACAAAAATAATAATTAAAAAAAAGTCCAGTTTAGAGTATAGAGCCCATGATCATATACAAAGTAGCATGCACTGATTGTGTTCAGTCTGCCTCTATGCCTGCTGATGGGGTCCAGTCTGCCTCTATGCCTGCTAATGGGGTCAAGTCTGCCTCTATGCCTGCTAATGGGGTCCAGTCTGCCTCTATGCCTGCTAATGGGGTCCAGTCTGCCTCTATGCCTGCTAATGGGGTCAAATCTGCCTCTATGCCTGCTGATGGGGTTCAGTCTGCCTCTATGCCTGCTGATGGGGTTCAGTCTGCCTCTATGCCTGCTGATGGGGTTCAGTCTGCCTCTATGCCTGCTGATGGGGTTCAGTCTGCCTCTATGCCTGCTAATGGGGTCCAGTCTGCCTCTATGCCTGCTGATGGGGTTCAGTCCTCCTAAATGCCTGCTGATGGGGTCCAGTCTGTCTCTATGCCTGCTGATGGGGTTCAGTCCTCCTAAATGCCTGCTGATGGGGTTCAGTCTGTCTCAGTGCCTGCTGATGGGGTTCAGTCCTCCTAAATGCCTGCTGATGGGGTTTAGTCTGCCTCTATGCCTGCTGATGGGGTTCAGTCTGCCTCCATGCCTGCTAATGGGGTTCAGTCTGCCTCAGTGCTTGCTGATGGGCTCAGTCCTCCTCAATGCCTGCTAATGGGGTCTAGTCTCCCTCCACGCCTGCTGATGGGGTTCAGTCTGCCTCAATGCCTGATGATGGGGTTCAATCTGCCTCAGTGCTTGCTGATGGGGTTAAGTCCGCCTCAACGCCTGCTGATGGGGTCCAGTCTGCCTCTATGCCTGCTGATGGGGTTCAGTCTCCTTCAATAGCTGCTGATGGGGTTCATTCGCCCTCTATGCCTGCTAATGGGATCAAGTCTGCCTCTATGCCTGCTGATGGGGTCCAGTCTGCCTCTATGCCTGCTGATGGGGTCAAGTCTGCCTCAATGCCTGCTGATGGGGTTCAGTCTGCCTCAATGCATGCTGATGGGGTTCAGTCTCCTTCAATGGCTGCTGATGGAGTTCATTTGACCTCAATGCCTGCTGATGGGGTCCAGTCTGCCTCTATGCTGCTGATGGGGTTCAGACCTCCTCAATGCCTGCTGATAGGGTCCAGTCTGCCTCAATGACTGCTAATGGGGTCCAGTCTGCCTCAATGCCTACTGATGGGGTCCAGTCTGCCTCAATGCCTGCTGATGGGGTCCAGTCTGCCTCAATGCCTGCTGATGGGGTGCAGCCTGCCTCAACACTTGCCAATGGCATTCTGTCTGCTGCCAACTATCTGGACAGCTGGGAGGTAAAGGTAACAGCTAATTGAGCAGAGGGTGATAGCAAGTCAACCTTGAGATGGCTGTAGCAGGCTAACCGAGATACAATGGCTGGTCCAGATGCAATGGTAGGAAGCTATTGCTGTGGTAATTGCAGCAGGGTCCATAGCAATACCATTACTGCAGAAATTCTGGACTTTGAAGTGCACCATTTAGGTAGATGCTAAGCAGTCCCACACAGGAGCCAAGATCAAACATCCATAGGAACCATGAGGCGTAGGCTATGTTAAACAAGGCATGAAAAAGACTGCAGAGCTCCCAGAACTCACAACCTCGTGCTGCCATTACAAGACCACACCCTCTATGTATGAAACAGTTTGGGAACATTTTATACTTCATATGCTTTCCACTCCATCTATTAATTATGTTGTCATCACATTTTATGAAGAGGTAGTAGTGGAGGGGAGCTGGGCATGGATTTTCACAGGTCAACAAAATGCTGACAGAGTCATGGTTTGTATTTGCTGTATTCGGTAGCGTATCCAAGTATGATAGGTCAAAAAGATCACCAAATGAAAAAGCCTTAAGAGTCCAAAGTCTTTATTATTCAACAGCATACAAGTTGGGCAAAAGCCATGGGTGAGGGACCTTTGCCACCTCCACTGAACGCCAACACTGACTGTTGTTTAAACCATCCTCTGCCTGCAGATCAGTCTTCCTAGGAGTACTTTTTAGTCCAGTTTACATTCTGCCATTTCATTTAGACCTGATGAAGGGGAATTTTGTGGCTCTCAAAAGACATTGGCTGTGTTTTGCCCTTTTTGTTTTATCCAGTTGAACAATGTAGACTTTGGACTCCTAAGTGTTTTTCATTTGATGCTCTGTTTGACCTATTACACTTTTTTTGAGATCAGCATTTTTTTGTCCAGTTAAAAATATTATATTAGACTTAGATTTGATGCAAAGTTGTCATCATGGTATCCCACCAGCCCCTCCACATTTTAATCTGTTTGCCTAGAGGTGCCCCTAATCTATTAGTATCCTAGACATGCCATGGCTATGGATGAAAGCAAACAATTCTAGACAACAGGGGTCTCCAAACTGTCTAAACAAAGGGCCAATTTATTGTGCTTCAGACTTTAGGGGGGGCCAGACAGTGGCCATTGGGAGTAGAAAATGTCCTGGCATCAGTGGGAATGTGCTATGTCCCATCATTGGTATTTGGGGGATTATTAGTGCCCCATCGTTGGTGTCAGTGGGAGGAACAGTGCCCTATTTTTGATGTCAGTGAGAGGAATAGTGTCTTATCATTGGTGTCAGTGGAAGGAATTGTGCCCCAAGGGCTGGATAAAAGCAAGTGAAGGGCCACATTCGGCCCCCGGGCTGCAGTTTAGAGACCACTGATCTAGACAAACCAGATTGGCAATGCTGCATGATGGTAAACATTGAAACAAAGCCACATCAACAAAAATTCAATAAATCAAACCAAATATAAAAATAGACTCAGTAAGAAAGAAAAAAGACTTTATTAAAAAATCCAAATTGTAGGCGATCATTTTGTGTGGCTTACTGGATATAATGTATTTTGAGGTGAAAACATCAAGAAACACTTATCTTCCATTCTCAAGCATGATTTCTCCTGTTCTTGATTGTAAATAAACAATTTTTCTCTCCGCCAGAAAATTCGACAAATAATATGGACAATGTCCAGTTACATGAGTGGGACAGGCCTCGTGGATTGTGACTCGGTTTCCAATGTTTTAAGTTGACATAATACCTTTGAATTTATTTAGGATATTTAGTTTTGATGATACCCCCTATTGGTATGTGAAATGTACGTATCGGCATTTGGAAGTGTGCTCTTATTTATTGATCGATAAAAAATGTATTAAGCTGTTATGCCTTTTGCTAAAGAAATAAAGGATCAGAATAAAAACATGTCAGTACTATCTAACAATCACTGCAAATCTGCCCCCCCCCCCCCCCCCCCCGTTTTCCTCAGCCTTCTCTTCCTCCCACCCTCTCCCCATACCTTCTCTTCCCTTCTCTTCTTTTTCCTTACCTCCCTTCCACCCTCTCGCACTCGGCTCTCCCCCCCATTCGTCATACAGTATATCCCCCCATGTCCAAGCCCTACTCATCACCAGGGGCGGACTGACCATTTAGAAACTCGGCACTGCCCGAGGGCCCGGGGTCAGTAGGGGGCCCCATGAGATGCCCATGGTACCTTTTTCATAGGCTTTTTTTGAGTTTGGGCAAGGACACAGGGGCCCCATGATCCCCTGTTGTCCGGGGGCCCCATGAATTGTCAGTCCGCCCCTGCTCATCACCCCACTTCTATGCCAATATATAGAACTATTTACCCCTGAATGTTTTCCCTTCCTTTCCCTTCTTTTTTTCTCTTTCCTTCCCTTCTATTCCCTTTCCTCCCTTCCACCCTCTCCCACTCAGCTCTCCCCATACCTTATATATCTCCCCATATCCAAGCCCTACTCATCACCCCACATCTACGCCATCACCCCTTCCCTTCCTTTCCCTTCATTCTTTTCCACCCTGTGCCACTCAGCTCTCCGCATATCTTATACAGTATATCCTTCCATATCCAAGCCCTACTCATCACCCCACTTCTACGCCAATATATAGAACTATTTACCCCTGAATTCCTTTCCTTCCTTTCCCTTCCCTTCTCTTCCTTTCCCTTCTATTCCCTTCCCTCCCTTCCATGCTCTCTGACTCAGCTCTCCCCATACCTTCCATATCCCCCGTATACAAGCCCTACTCATCACCCCACTTCTACACCAATATATAGAACTATTTACCCCTGAATTCTTCCCCTTCCTTTCCCTTCCCTTCTCTTCCTTTCCCTTCCATGCTCTCTGACTCAGCTCTCCCCATACCTCATATATCCCCCGTATGCAAGCCCTACTCATCACCCCACTTCTACACCAATATATAGGACTATTTACCCCTTCCCTTCCTTTCCCTGTCTTCTGCCCTCTTCCACTTAGCTATCCTCAAACCTCATATACCTCCCAGGAGCGGACTGACAACTCATGGGGCCCCCGGGCAATAGGGGATCATGGGGCCCCTGTGTCCTTGCCCAAACTCAAAAAAGCAAAGGTACCAGGGGCATCTCATGGGGCCCCCTACTGACCCCGGGCCCAAGATTCCAAATGGTCAGTCCGCCCCTGATAACTCCCCATATCCGAGCGCTACCTCACTTCTGTGCCAACATAAAGAACTATTTACCCCTGAACCCCTTCCTTCCCTTCTCTTCCTACCACCCTCTTCCACTCAACTATCCCCATACCCCTTTTATCCCCCATATTCAAGCCCTATTCATTACTTCCCTTCTGCAACAATATACAGAACTATTTACCTCTGAACCCCTTCCCTTCTATTTTCTTCTCTCTCTCTTCCACCCTCTCCCACTCAGCTCTCCCCATACCCCTTATATCCTCCATATCTAAGCCCTACTCATTACCCCACTTCTACTGCAATATATAAGACTATTTACCCTTGAACCCCTTTCCTTCCCTTCTTTTCCCTTCTTTTCTATTCCATTCCCTTCCTTCCACCTTTTCCCACTCAGCTCTCTCCATACATCATATATCCCCCCCATATCCAAGCCCTACTCATTACCTCACTTGTATGTCAATATAGAGAACTAATTACCCTTTTCCTTCCTTTTCACCCTGTGCTACTCACCTCTCTCTGTACCTCATATATTCCCCACAGATCCAAGCCCTACTCATCACCCCACTTCTGCTCCAATATATAGAACAATTTACCCCTTCCCTTCCTTCTGCCCTCTCCCACTTACTTACCTCTTCCCTTTCCTCCCCTCCATGGCAATGAAACCCAGTGAGACCTGGCAGCATAACGTCACTTACCCAACCTAGTGAAGTGAAAGGTGGGGTGGAGTGGCTGGAGGGGGGCATGGCTTCCTACAGACTACGGAAGATGCTGGCACACAGTGCCTGTATTAACAGATTGATGACACAAGACGGAAACCGACCACACTACCACAGTGCCATGCTAGGTGGTCAGTTTATTCTCAGAAGGTGGGGCAGAGGCAGGATCAACCCAGTATTATACAACACAGGCAGGACTGAAGAAAGCAACATTGCAAAGGATATTACATTGCTTTTAGGAGACAGTAACATCATTTTTTTCAGGTTTCTAAACACTTTAATTCTAAAAACTCTGCCCACCTCATGATAT